ATGAAAACAACAAGTTCAGAAACTAGGGAAAGAATATTGAAGGCTGTAAGAGAGAAAAAACAAATAACATACAAAGGTAAACCCATCAAAATCACAGATTTCTCAACAGAAACATTAAAAGCAAGAAGAGCTTGGGGTGAGATCTTCCGGGCACTGAATGAAAATAATTTCAACCCCAAGATACTCTACCCAGCAAAACTATCATTCAAAATATATGGAGCAATAAAAGTCTTCCATAAGCAGAAACTAAAACAATATGTGACCACAAAGCCACCGTTACAAAAGATTCTTCAAGGGATTCTGCATGCAAAAAGTGAAACCCAACATAACCATGAAGGACAGCAGCACCACACTACAGGAAAAGAAAAAGCAAGAAAGTAGAGAGTAACCTTCACTTAGGTATACACAATCAAACCTTCAAAAAACTAAGACAACTAAATGACAGGAATCACCACATACCCATCAGTACTAACACTTAATGTTAACGGACTTAACTCACCCATCAAAAGGCACCATTTGATGAAATGGATTAAAAAGGAAGATCCAACAATTTGTTGCTTACAGGAGACCCATCTCACCGACAGAAATAAACATAGGCTTAGGATGAAAGGCTGGAAGATTAACCAAGCCAATGGCCCCCAAAACCAGGCAGGACTAGCAATACTTTTCTCTGACAAAGTAGACTTCAAACCTACATTGATCAAACAAGATAAAAAAGGACATTCCATACTAATAAAAGGGGAAATAGAACAAAAGGAAATAATAATTATCAACCCATATGCACCCAATGTCAACACACCCAATTTCATCAAACATACCCTGAAAGACCTAAAAGCATATATAAACGCCAACACAGTGGATGTGGGAGGCTTTAACACCCCATCATCATCAACAGATAGGTCATCCAAACAAAAAATCAATAAAGAAATCCAAGATCTAAAATATACAATAGATCAAATGGACCTACTTGATGTCTACAGAACATTTCATCCAACCTCTACACAATATACATTCTTCTCAGCAGCCCATGGAACCGTCTCCAAAATAGATCATACCCTAGGGCACAAAGCAAGCCTCAGCAAATATAAGAAAATAGAAATTATACCGTGCATACTATCTGATCACAATGCAATAAAACTAGAACTCAACAACAAAAGTAAAGACAAAAAACATGCAAACAGCTGGAAACTGAATAACTCATTATGTAATGAACAATGGGTCACTAATGAAATAAAAGAGGAAATTAAAAAGTTCCTGGAAGTCAATGAAAATGAGAACACAACCTACTGGAAACTATGGGACACAGCAAAGGCAGTCCTGAGAGGAAAGTTTATAGCCATGAATGCATATATTAAAAAGACTGAAAGATCCCAAATCAATGACCTACTGATACCTCTCAAAGTCCTAGAAAAACAAGAACAAGCAAATCCCAAAACAAATAGAAGGACAGACATAATAAAAGTAAGAGCTGAAATCAACAAAATAGAAACCAAAAAAACCATACAAAGAATTAATGAAACAAAAAGTTGGTTCTTTGAAAAAATAAACAAGATCGACAGACCCCTGGCAAACCTGACTAAAATGAGGAGAGAAAAAGCCCAAATTAATAGAATCAGGAATGCAAAAGGGGAGATAACAACAAACACCATGGAAGTCCAGGAAATCATCAGAGACTACATCGAGAACCTGTATTCAAATAAATTTGAAAATCTTAAAGAACAGACAGATTTCTAGAAACATATGATCATCCAAAACTGAACCAAGAGGAAATTAATCACCTGAATAGATATGTAGCACAAAATGAAATTGAAGCAGCAATCAAGAGTCCCCACAAAAAGAAAAGTCCAGGACCTGATGGATTCTCTGCTGAATTCTATCAGACCTTTAAAGAACAACTGATACCAACCCTCCTTAAACTGTTTCACGAAATAGAAAGGGAAGGAAAACTGCCTAACACATTTTATGAAGCCAGTATTACACTTATCCACAAACCAGGCAAAGACACCTCCAAAAAGGAGAACTATAGGCCAATCTCCTTAATGAATGAACACTGATGCAAAAATCCTCAACAAAATAATGGCAAACCGAATTCAACAACACATCAAAAAGATTATTCACCATGACCAAGGAGGCTTCTTCCCAGGAATTCAGGGGTGGTTCAACATAGGAAAATCAATAAACGTAATAAGCCACATTAATAAAAGTAAAGACAAAAACCATCTGATCATCTCAATAGATGCAGAAAAAGCCTTTGATAAGATCTAACACCACTTCATGATAAAAGCTCTAAGAAAACTAGGAATAGAAGGAAATTACCTCAACATTATAAAAGCTATATATGACAAACCTACAGCTCATTATACTTAACAGAGAAAAACTGAAAGCATTCCCTCTAAAATCAGGAACCAGACAAGGATGCCCACTATCTCCACTCCAATGGAATTCTTAGCCAGAGCAATTAGGCAAGAAGAAGGAATAAAAGGAATACAAATAGGCAAAGAAACTGTCAAAATATCCCTATTTGCAGACAACATGATCCTATACCTTAAAGAGCCAAAAAACTCTACTCAGAAGCTCCTAAACACCATCAATAGCTACAGCAAGGTAGCAGGACATAAAATCAACATAGAAAAATCATTAGCATTTCTATACACTAATAATGAACAAACTGAAAAAGAATATATGAAAACAATTCCATTTACAATAGCCTCAAAAAAAATCAAACAAAGGATGTGAACGGCCTTTACAAGGAAAACTATAAACTTCTTAAGAAAGAGATTGAGGAAGACTACAGAAAGTGGAGAGATCGCCCATGCTCATGGATTGGTAGAATCAACATAGTAAAAATGTCGATACTCCCAAAAGTAATCTACATGTTTAATGCAATTCCCATCAAAATTCCAATGACATTCATTAAAGAGATTGAGAAATCTACCGTTAAAATTATATAGAAACGCAAGAGACCACGAATAGCCAAGACAATACTCAGTCAAAAGAACAATGCTGGAGGTATCATGATACCTGACTTCAAACTATATTACAAAGCAATAAAAATAAAAACAGCATGGTACTGGCACAAAAACAGACATGAAGACTAGTGGAACAGAATAGAGGACCCAGTTATGAAGCCACACAACTATAACCAACTTGTCTTTGACAAAGGCGCTAAAAATATATGATGGAGAAAAAGCAGCCTCTTCAACAAAAACTGCTGGGAAAACTGGTTAGCAGTCTGCAAAAGACTGAAACTAGATCCATGTACATCACCCTATGACAACAAACTCAAAATGGATCAAGGATCTTAATATCAGACCACAAACTCTAAAGTTGATACAGGAAAGAGTAGGAAATACTCTGGAGTTAGTAGGTATAGGTAAGAACTTTCTCAGTGGAACCCCAGCAGTACAACAACTAAGAGATAGCATAGATAAATGGGACTTCATAAAACTAAAAAGCTTCTGTTCATCCAAAGAAATGGTCTCTAAACTGAAGAGAACACCCACAGAGTAGGAGAAAATATTTGCCAGCTACACATCAGACAAAGGACTGATAACCAGAATATATAGGGAACTTAAAAAACTAAATTCTCCCAAAACTAATAAACCAATAAAGAAATGGGCACGTGAACTAAACAGAACTTTCTCAAAAGAAGAAATTCAAATGGCCAAAAAAACACATGAAAAAATGCTCACCATCCCTAGCAATAAAGGAAATGCAAATTAAAACCACACTAAGATTCCACCTCACCTCTGTTAGAATAGCCATCAAAGCAACACCACCAACAACAGGTGTTGGTGAGGATGTGGGGAAAAAGGAACCCTCTTACACTGTTGGTGGGAATGTAAACTAGTACAACCACTCTGGAAAAAAATTTGGAAGCTACTTAAAAAGCTAACATTATCTACCAATTGATCCAGCAATACTACTCCTTGGGGATATACCCAAAAGACTGTGACACAGGTTACTCCAGAGGCATCTGCACACCCATGTTTATTGCAGCACTATTCACAAAGCCAAGTTATGGAAACAGCCAAGATGCCCCACTGACAATGGATCAAGAAAATGTGGTATCTATACACATGGAATTTTATGCAGCCATGAAGAAGAATGAAATGTTATCATTCGCTGGTAAATGGATGGAATGGAGAACATCATTCTGAGTGAGGTTAGCCTGGCCCAAAAGACCAAAAATCATGTTCTCCCTCATATGCAGATCAAGGGCAAACACAACAAGCTTTGAGATACCACAGGAGATATAGGATAAAGACACCTGAGGCATTACCCTCAATGCAGAGAAACTAAAGCAGATACCTTAAAAGCAACTGAGGCCAACAGGAGAAGGGAACCAGGAACTAGAGAAAAGGTTAGATCAAAAAGAATTAACCTAGAAGGTAACACACATGCACAGGAAATCAATGTGAGTCAACTCCCTGTATAACTATCCTTATCTCAACTAGCAAAAACCCTGTTCCTTCCTATTATTGCTTATAGTCTCTCTTCAACAAAATTAGAGATAAGGGCAAAACAGTTTCTGCCGGGTATCGAAGGGGTGGGGGGGACAGGGAGGGGGTGGAGTGGGTGGTAAGGGAGAGGGTGGGGGCAGGGGGGAGAAATGACCCGAACATTGTATGCACATATGAATAATAAAAAAATTTAAATTTAAAAAAAAAAGAAAAAAATTCATCATATCATTCAGTTGTATCTTAACTGAACTTAAAAGCTTATTCTACCATAAAGGACTAGTTTACTCTAAGAGTTCCTGCTTCTTACACTAAATTTAGTTTTACATCTAAAACATTAAAAGCTTATACCAATCTATGTAGAATGTGTACACTCCTAACTGAAAGACTCAACCATTAAAAGCTTATACCAATCTATGTAGAATGTGTACACTCCTAACTGAAAGACTCAACCATTCATACATTAACAATACAATGTAACTGCTAAGCACTGACTGAAGGCTGAAACAGTGGCATTAGAAAGCAAGCAATAAAACCTACGGCATTGGGCTGCTGATTCACTCTTTTATCTTCTAGATCCTTGAATTTTGAACGAAAAGAAACCATTTTCTCTTGAAGTTCTGGCGTACATAGTTCATACACATCCAACATAAGAGGAAATTTAACATCCTATTTACAAACCAAAAAGAAAAAAATGTGTAGAGACTGACAGATTATTATTTAAAGCATCTATCACATTTCAAAGTGAAGTTGAAGATAAAACCTGCGAAAATCATGTGGAACACTGCAGTTGAAAACCTCCTCAGACTTACTCTCAATAATGACCTGCTTCTAACTTGCTCAAGAATTTTTCAAATACATTTTTCCATTAACTATTCTACCCATAAAACTGACCACAGAGAAGGTACTAAAATTCATCTGATAGAAACAGCAATTCAGAAATTCAACTTGTAAACATTTGTTTAAATATGAGACAGTTACACAAAAACAATACTATACAGCCCAATAACTTATATTAATAAATTAAACACTAATAGACAAACAATATTTATTCTAATATAAATCTAAGATCATAAGAAAATGTGTTAAGAATTTCATCTTAAGAGGCTGTAGACTTAAATGCCTCTCCCAATGACCAGGAATTCCATGAGCACACAGCTCAATATGAATGGTTAAATCATAAGGCTGGCTCCTAAATCAAGGAGTCACCACCATTTAAGTACTCTTCAGGCTCCAGTGATTTAATTCTTGTCACCTGAAAGAAACTACATAAAACATAACGTAGTGTGCTTGACAGCCTACTTTTTTCTTCACTCCCATCAAAACCTACTGAATCAGTATCTCTGAAATAAAGGATGCGGTAGTATTTCTAAGGAGTGCAAATGATCTATCAGAATTATTTATGAATCCTTAGAAAAATATAAGATCTTGGATACCACCTAGCCCTAGCCTTAATCAGATGTTTGGGGCTGGAGGGAGGAGCCACAAATGTGTATAATTAAAAATAAAAAGGACAATAGATAATTCCAATACACTCTCCTGGTTAAGAACCACCTGTCTAATCTGGGCATGGCAATGGATGCCTGTAATCCCAGTATTCAGGCAGTTGAGGCAGAAGGATTGAGTCTGAGTTCCAGGCCAGCCTGGATTACATAGGAAGAGAACTTGTCTCAAAAAAAACACACTGTAATGTTAATGACTACTCTAAATACTTAAAAGAAAGCTTGACTATCTCCAAAGGAAATAAGCTTATTATAATGGTTACCTTCAAAGAATTATATTTCATATACAAACTGAAATTCATTACTAACCTTAAGAACTTTGGCATTTACAGATTCCTTTTCTTTATAAAAAAATCGAACCATCTGAATGGTTAAGTAAGCAGGTAGCCGACTGATCTTCGACTAAGGAGAGAAAATGGGAAAAAATCTTTTACATCCAAATACCAGAGTTATTACATGGTGATAAAAACAAAGCCTGGGTAAAATTCATTCACTGGAAATTTTTCAAACAGTTTCAAGAAGAAATGTACAACTTACAGATTTGATGTATAAAGCATTTCTTTGCAACGTTGGCGACTGTTTGGTGATCTCTTCCTGGAGTCGCTAAAAGGGCACAAAACAGATAACCAAATATCAGTTTTAAAAAGACTTTTTCTGCAACATAGAAATACTCCTCTAATGTCTTAAAAAAAAAAAACACTAAATAGATAGCATATAAAGGCATCAAATAATCTGTTCTACTAGGAACTCCTCTCAGTATAATCTTTGAAATTTTTCAGTTATGAACCAACTGTTGATCAGATTCAGAGAAATGATACTGTGTTTTACACAGTAACAAAGCCTCTGTCATTCCTCTTTTATGGATTATCAGAATACTCATATTAGAGGAAAATTAAGGGAATGTAGAAAACCTTTTTCCATATGTTTTACGTATAAAAGACTTCAAGCAACCGTCAAGTTATTTCTAAATCTGAAAAACTACATCACAAAAAAAAGCTCTGTTAATATAACTAATGTGAGGAAATCATTAGCCACTCTACAAATCCTGACCACCTTTCTACTTCCTACAATCTACTTTTCCCCTCTGGGCATCATTTGTTAAAGATGCTAATAAAATCTACATTATAGCGTGTTGTCTAAAGTACAAGAGTGAGTACATGTAGAAAACATCAGAAACTATTTGCCATATAGTCTGTATTCAATAAACATTAGCTACTATTTCTAATGTTATATATAAAAAGTGAGCATTACTAAAACAAAGAAATCTAAATGAAAAGAACTTACTGTTTATGCTTAAGTTTGTAACACTGGTATAATTAAGTTTGATTTTCTTAAAAAAAACAAAGTACCAATCACATTATAACAGGAATCACTGGGGAGCTTTAATATTTAACCAAGTTTATTCAGCAGCAAAGAAGAAACATGGAGAAAAATGATGCAACAATAATCAGAACAAATAATGATAAAACACTTAAAAATTACATTATTTTTACTTCGATTTTATTTCTCTAAGACAGGGTCTCACTATGTAGCCCAGGGTGGCCTCAAACTTGTGATCCTCCTGCCTCAGCCTCCTGAGTGCTTGGATTATCATACTAAAAATGTTAAAATTCATAAAGAAAATAAATACAACCCAGGAATACATGTTTTTCAATCAAGTATAGCTGAAGCCAGGCTTAGGTTCATCAACACTGAACTTACAGCCAACAAAATCATACATAACTCATGCCCAAATGAAGCATTGTCTAGTCTTGTAAGGCACATCACAGCCCGCCTGCTCTTACGAATACTATATTGCTTGAGGAACATTCTAAACACTGAATCCACCCACAAAAAGCAAAACATGAGAAACAGGGTACCAAAATTTCTGTACAAAAGACACTTGTACCCAATATGTGCACTAAAAGACACAGCATTTTCTTGTTTGACCTCATCTGGGACCATGTATGTCAGCCTACACAAAATCTGTGCTGCTCTGCAATATGTCTGCAAATGACCATTAAAACACAGTGAATACTATCTTTGGGTTGACAAATTTTAGCAAATAGGTGTATTCACAAATATGGACTCCACAAATGTTAAGTCAGCCACTATGGTTCTTACCAATTTAAGTCCTGTAAAAAGATACTTGACTTCCTGATTGATAAAACAGCTAAGCTGAAGCTGATTTTCCTTTCCTTTGGTGACTTCTTCTTCTTCAGATTCTGTACATTTCATGCTTTGCAAAATAAAATAAGGAATGCCAACAGATACTTGATTTGTTATATAATCTTGAATATAATGAGTTATCCTAATGCTATTAAATAATTAATTGGTATTTAAAACACTGTCTCCCAATAAAGATTTATATTCATTTGCCTATCAACAACTCTATAAACAAGTAATGAATATGTGCTTAAGTTAAACTGCAATAAACTCTAAAAAAATACAAGGTGGTATTTAGTATTATCTTAAATAGTCTTAATAACCATTAAGAGAATAGAAATTGTCTTTAGATTTCTAACCATAACCCAGAAAATGATTCCTTGAGTTCATCTTTTATGAATTAGATGAATTCCAAATACAGAATTTAATTAATACTTTGTTTCATACAATTCAAAATTCTCTATGAGATAAATGAGTAAGGCGGACTCCGCTATAGATGTTCTTAGGAAAAAAGCAAGGGCCCTGTTTCCAAGATAATCAGATCAAACAAGGACTAGAGGCATGGCTTAAACAGTAGAGCCATAAGTAGTTCAAACATCAATATTGCCAAAAGTCAAAAAACTTCTGATGAATTTTTCTTCTCCACCCATCATAACAATCAGCCAACTATGCTACCTATGTCAATACTTTTTTTTTTTGCAGTACCGGGGCTTGAACTCAGGGCCATCACCTTGAGCCACTCCACCAGCCCTACTTATTTGCCCAGGCTGGCTTTGAACCACCATCCTCCTGACCTCTGCCTCCTGAGTAGCTAGGATTACAAGTGTGAGCCACCAGCGCCTGGCTAATACTTCTTATAAATTATGAATATAGTCTATACAAATCTTGGCTCATAAGGATACGTAGTTTCAAATTCAAGACCAAAGAATTGATCAATTAGGCTTTTCTTTTTAGAAGGTGTCACTGCTGATGCAGATGAAGAATCTGTCTGCAAAAGTAAAAGGAAATTAAAATTCTAGTTTTACTTTATATAGATATTAATGAATGTTTTAACACAAGCCTGTTTAGTAATACATATCAAGATTTTTTAAAATGTAGTCCCTTTCTGTAAAATCCTTCCATGATTCAAAAACATTACCAAAGATTACACATGCTCAGCAATAGCAATAAATTATATTTAATGAATACCACACTAAATTAAATATCAACTGCAAGTTATCAAATTCCAACTACAGTGGGAGCACATAAAGTATTAAAATACACATCTGCCTCAAGATGAATTTATTTCAAGTCTTTGGGGCACGAAAACAAAAACCATCACCACCAACAAAAAAATGATATAATGAAAGTCTGTAAAGTCAAAAATACATGTTAATTACCTCTTTAACAGAATCATCCTCTATGGCTTCCAATTTCTGCTGCAATACTCTCATCATCTGTATCCAACATTCATTAGCATCCTATAATTTAAAACATGACACAGAGTGAAATCCTTCCAAAATAATTATCATTTCCTTAGGGGGGAAGAGAGGTTTTCTTCTTTCAAAATATTCAGTCAAAGTAAGTATTATAAGACCTTCGAAAATAATGAAGAATTCCAGAATAGGTATCATGCAACAGACATTGAGCTCCTACTTGTTTTACACTGTTCTAGACATTTGAAATACATAGCAAAAAAAAATAATAAAGACAGTCCCAATGGAGAATACAGACATATAAAAATACAAATTCCTCATTAACTTCTTATCCAGGCTGGTCTCAAACTTTGATCCTCCCAATCTCTAACTCCTGAGTAGCTCTGAATACAGGCATGAGCCACCACCAGAGCCCCCTATTATACATTTTTAAGAGGACACTGGTACCTGTGTAGAGAAATACTGCCAAGGAGCAAAAGCAGCAGCAACATCATCAGTCAACAGAGAAATACCCCAATTTAGTCAAGAGATCATAGTGGTATGAACAACAGGAGACTGATATTTGCATTCCCAGTAAGTATATTAAGTGTAAGAAACTTAAATTTCACACTTAATGGAATGAAAAAACCCTCTCCCTGATTACCTGTTGAAGATATTGTCCTTGTTCACCCTTCTCCGCAAACTGTGGGAAAGCCATGTGCAAAAACTGCAGTAGAATAATAGGTGGAATACTAGAAGAAGTTTTATCCATGGAATCAAACAAATCTCTAAGGGCTTAAAAACAAAATAAACATTGCCTTAGAAAAACACTGATGTATTTAATACATGTTACTATAAATTCTTTATTCTTAAATTGGGAAAAAAATAAAATAAAAACACAACTTAAATTTTTTTCTCTTCTCTCTTTTTTTTGAGCCCCAGCTGGCCTGAAACTCACAACCCTCCTTTCTCAGCCTGAATGCTGGGATTACAGGCATGAAACACCATAATCAACCTGCTTTAAGTATATTTATCTTTACCAATTGTTGGACTGCTAATAAGAAAAAGAAAATAAACATCTTTACTCTTAACTCATTAGATGACCTTATGACAGCTACAAACAGCTATAAACTTCTGAACCCTGCTTCTTTCTTTCTTCTTGTCAGCCTTTGTCTTCCAAAACAAGCAGGTTGTATTGATTCAATACCATAAACACACAATCTGTCTAGGGACTAAACAGGCTATCATCACTGCTCTGCCATTCTGCCAGAATCAGACCATGAGGTAATCCAACTTACATTCCTTTAAACCTATAGCTGACTCCCATCTACTGAACGCCTGGATATTGAAATTTGGCTCCTTAAAGACACTTCCTGACTCCACTGAACAGCTAAGAACAAAAAGAATTTACCTTCTTTAAAACATTTCCCTCTTTATTCCTTCCCACCAACATTACATTTATTGTCATGGACTCAGCTGGGTTTTCAGAATTCAGAATACCTTTCCTCTGCTGACTTCCTGGCTATCACCGAACCTGAGTTTTTTCTTTCTTTTTTATTTTTTTACTTTTTTTATTTTTTATTTTTGTAGATACTGATGTTTGAACTCAGGGCCTTATCCTTGCTAGGCAGACATTCTACTACTTGAGCCATTCCTCTAGTCCTTTTTGCTTTCAGTATCTTTCCAATAGGATCTTGCTTTTATGCCAAGGCTGGCCTGGACAGTAATCCTCCAATTTATGCTGAGGCATGCACCATCACACCCAACTTTTTATTGATCCAGATGGGGTTTTACTAACTTTTTGCTCAGCCTGACCTACAACCATGATCCTCCCAATATTACAGATGTGAGCCACCTCATGGGGCTCACACCTTACTCTTATTATATGTGCGGCCAAACTCTTATTGAGATTTGTATGTTATATCTTATGGTGACTTGCATTATTTTGTAAATACCTAATACATGAAATGTCATCTTTCATAATACAGACTGAAACCCAGCAAATATGGTCTGGTGGCACCAAGCAGGAGCTCAATAAAATGTTCCACAGTAGAAAAACTGAACATAACATTTAAGCACTATTTTTTGAAGCAAGATTAAAATTTGAGAATCTCTACCAAGCCCATTATGTTGAAATAAAAAACCTACATACTTTTTTTATGGCAATACTGGATGTGGTTTGTACTCAGGGCCTCATGCTTACTAACAGACAGACACTCTACTACTTGAGCAACATCACCAACCCTAAAAATCTAAATTTTGATAATACTGTGAAGTACACACTGCTCAAAAGAAAACCCAGATGATTTAATTTTTAGTATATCCCATCAACCCAGCATCTCAAAGGTATTTCATTAGTCTGAATGAAAAAGGTGAAGAAATATAGTTTAGATTAAAAGTCATGAGACATCATAGCAACTGGATTCAGAAGAGGGAAAAAAACTTTTAACGAGCAATAGTTAAACAAGTGGCAAAATCCAAATAATGTCTGTATTTTAAACTAGTGTTAAATCCCCAGATTTTGAAAATTGGTAATTACCAACGCACAATGAATATTAAGGAAAAAAAGATATGTCTGGCACCTTATTCTAAAAATGGTTCAGAAGATAGTAATCTCATGTGTTAGAGAGAAACGAAAAACCAAATATGACAAAAAGTAGTGAATTCATGTAATTTTTCTATAAATTTAAATGTCAAAAAGTTAAAAAAAAGCAAAAATGTAAACAATAGTATTTTTCACACAAAATACATAAGCCTCTTCCTACATGTTGCTTAAGTTCTGGGTTACTCCTAGACACACAAACTATCAAATAAACTACTTATGAATGATCATATTTTTTCATTAAAAACTTCATTTCACAAAAAAATCTACTTTCATGAAAAAGGTAATCTAACTCTAAAGGATACAAAGAAACCTACTACTTATATACTAAAAATTAATGGCTCATCACCATAGTGGGATACTACCTTGCATCCCTAGGAAGGCTATAGTAAAAAAGATAAATAACACTAAGGGTTAGCAAGGATGTGGAGACATCCTAACTCTCACACATTCCTGGAGATGTAAGATGGTAGAATGCCTTTCAGGAATAATCTGGCAGTGTCCCCAGAAGACTAAGTATGAATTTACCACATAACCCAGCCAATTCTACTCCTAGATACATACCCAAGAGAAATGAAAACATATCCACACAAAGTTTAGTAAGAGGTCATGCTTTAGTCACTAGGTTCAATCCCCAGCATCACAAAAGCATACTTATACATATATGTGTATGTATTTCTCCTCATACATATCACTTTTTACACTAATAATCATTAAGACATTTTTTTGAGGGAGTGATAGTGAGGTTTGATCTCAGGGCCTCAAGCTTGCTAGGCAGGTGCTCTACCACTTGAGCCACTCCACCAGCCCTTTCTTCCATTAGGTATTTTCAAGATAGCGTCTCTTGAACTATTTGCCCAGCTGGCTTTAAACTATGATCCTCCTGATCTCTACCTCCAGAGTAGCTAGGATTACAGGTGTGCGCTACCAGCACCTGGCTACTAAGACTTTTATAATGATAGCGTCAACACCAATAAAACCTACTTCTGGCTATTCCCAAAGTCATTCCAAAGATATATCTAATAAGAAACTGAAAACAAAACTATAATCCAAACAATTCAAGGTTTTTTTCTTTCTTTCTTTTAAAGCAAGGTCTTGGTATATAGCCCAAGCTGGACTCCACCTTGAGATCCTCAAGCCTCAGCCTCCTGAGTGCTGGGATTACAGTATGGACCATGCCCAGCTTCCAAAGATTATTTTTCAAAAAATATATATATATATCACTGGTTTATAATGTGGATAGGTCCCAACTTATTTAACATGTAAGCATAAAAGTAGTCCAATCTTAATGAGGTAATGTAAAAAAAAAAATTTGTAAACTGAAAAGGTATTAAACAAATTATGGGTGAAAACAACATTTACTGAATATTATAATTTCTCTCCAAATATAGTCTAATTAACATACTGACCTGCAGTAATATACTGTGCTGAAGCCATTTCCCCTGAAGCTCTCAAGGCACCTGCATACCTAGGAACATCAAGACAGTATCAAGTAACAGAATTAAATCCATCCTGAAACTAAAATGGGAAAAACTCAAGTTAAAAGAACTTATATATTAAGACACCCTCAACTGTAAGTTTCTCAAAGTATTTTTTCTCTTCTGTTTTTTGCTCATTTAAGCATTATGTGAATTTAGAAAAGAATGTTTAAATTAAAAAATCATATACCTACACTCAACCATAACTTCCTGTATAACATTAAACAAGTCATAGATTTCAAATCAGCTTGCTAATCTATAGTAAAGTAATGGGTTTCTACTAAAGGATTTCTAAATTCACTTTCAGCTTTATGATGCTCAGTAAATTTACAACAATACAGAGAACCAGTCATCTAAAGGAAAAAATCAACCACAGTCCTCACTGACACAGTATCTTATGACAAAGGATTTGTCATTCATGACAAATATTGAGGAAGGAGGGACACTGTATATTCACTATGATTAAAACTAAACTTACATACTACACATCCACTGGAGTGACTAAAATGAAAAAGACTCATGAAACTCAACACCAACACTGGCAAGAATGCACCACCAGAACTACTAAGACAGTCAAAAACAAGAAGGAATCTCAACTTCTTGCTGAGAAATAAAAGCCAAGCCAAAAATAAAGGGCTTACTGTATGATTCCATTTATCTTAAGATCCAGAATGTATGAACTAATATGAAATCAGAATTCACTGAGGTGGTTAGAGGGGATAAGGATTAACTGAGAAAAACTATAAGAAAACATTCTGGAATGATGGAAATGTTCTATACTTTTATAGGATTAAAGAACATTTACATTTGTCAAAACCAATCAAATCCAGGGCTAGGAACATAGCTCAGTGACAGAGGGCTTGTCTAACATGTGCAATCCCCAGGGCCTAAGAAAAACAAACAAATAAGAAAAGCAGCCAGGCACAGGTGGCTCATGGCTGCATTCCTAGCAACTCAAGAGGCAAAGATCAAGATTGTGGTTCGAAGCTAGCCAGAGCAAATAGCTCACAAGACCCCATCTCAAAAAAACCAAACACAGAAAAGGGCTAGTGGAGTGGCTCAAGGTGTAGGCCCTGAGTTCAAGTCCCAGTACTGAAAAAAAAAATACCCAACACAAAAAAGGGCTGGTGGAGTAACCTAAGTGGTAAAGATCTGTCTAGCAAGCACCAGGCCCTGAGTTCAAATTCTAATTCCAACAATGACAACAAAAAAAAAACTGTGCTACAAACATACTGTCAACAAAGTGAAATAAGTCACAGAAAAAATATGGAAAATTATCTCAAAAGTCTGGTATTTAGAATATATTTAAAAACCACAACTGAATAAAATAAGGCAAATAACCCAATTAAAACACAAAGGATTTAAACAGACATTTCCAAAACACATACAAATGGCCAATAAGCACATGAAAAGATGCTCAACATCATCAGACATCAGGAAAACATAAATGAGGTTAACAATGAGATGCTACTCAACACCCTTTAGATGGCTATACTCAAAGATAATAACAAGTACTGGTACAAAGGTAAAGAAATTAGAACCCTCTTTTACACTGTTTGTGAAAATGTAAAATGATACAGCTACTTGAGAACCAGTTTATGAGTTCCTCAAGATGTTAAACAGGGTTACCATATGACTGAGCAATCCTAGGTACATAACCAAGGGACAAGAATACAATCAGACAGGGCTGGAGGTATGGTTCAAGCAACAGAGAGAGTACTTGCTTACAAGCACAATGCCCTGAATTCAAATTCTAGCACTGCTAAAAAAAAAACTGTCCACCCAAACTCTGTTCACGAATGTTCATAGCAGCATTATTCCTAATAACCAAAAGTTGGCACAATCCAAATGCCCATCAACAGAGCAAAGGGATAAACAAAACTTTGTACACGTATACACTGAAATATTGAAAGCGAAATAAATGTCATACAAAAATGAACCCTGAAATTACTACAAAAGTGAATAAAATCACAAGAAGACTACACGTCATGATTTCATTTATAAAAAATGCCCCAGATGGATAAACATATAAGACAGAAAGTAAATAAATGTCTGCCTAGGACTGAACGTGGATGAAAACAGAAGTGACTGCCAATGAGTAAGAAGTTTCTTTTTGTTGGATACAGGAGGTATTCAAATATTAAAACTGGTAATAGCTGCAAAACCTTGTGAATATAATAAAAACCACTCAACACTTTAAAAGGGTGAATTGGCATGATCAAAGAGTGTCTCAATAAAGATGCTAAAAAAGCAAAAACAATACTACTCACCCAAATGTTAACTTCCTTTACACAACGATTTAAACTATTTCTCTTAAGTCTTACCTTTTAAGGGCATCTTTGAGTTCCGGCACAGAACGAATACACTGAACTGTAGCATTCATATAACAAGTGTTACCAAGGTTTGTCAATCCACATGGTAATTCCATCTGTTTAAAAAAAAAAAAGTTAACTCATTTATAAAATGATGTGGCATATATAATCACTAAAGTTCATACTATACAGTCAGTAGCCATTTACCAGCCCCTACCAATTTATATTCTACCTTCACCCTAAAGTAAATGTTTCATCTTCCAGAACAAAACATTTTTACTTGCAGCATGCTGGCAATAATTCTGTCTTAGTTTACTTCTTGAAAATAAGCTGGCAGAGTGGCTCAAGTGGGACAGAGCCTACATAGCAAGCATGAGGCCTGGAGATCAAATCTCAGTATCACCCAAAAAGAAAAAAAAAAAAGAGAACAAGGGGTATCAGTCCAGTCCTGATATTTTTGGAGGCTTTTTAGGAGACTAGTGTAGCAAAATATGCATAGAAAGACATCAAAACACCCCCCAAAACAAACAACAACAACAAAATGAATAAACTGGGCATGGTGATGCACACCTTTAATCCCAGCATTCAAGGCTAAGCAGAGGATCACGAATTCAAGATCAGCCCAGGTTACACAGTGAAACCCTGTGTTATAAAAAACAAAAAGAATTAAACCATATGCATGCTAGGTCTTAAAAAAAAAAACTGGACACCTGTATTGGCCAGTTCTAAACTGATTTTGCATTCACATTCAGGACAGAAGCTGGGATATAGTTTAGTGTTACAGTACTTGCCTAGCATGCTCAAAGCCCTCTCTCACACCATAGGGGGAAAAAAAAGATCATCGGGATATTTAACATGGAAGATTTGAAGAATTTAAATATCCCAGCATTTAAACTACTTTGATCCTCTTTTCCATAAAATATCAGCAAACACTTCAACATTGCTATCAGACAGACACATATTTATTAGATATTATATTTGCATATTTGTGCATGCATCTTATAACCACCTCATCTATAAGATAATGTTAATTCCAGTCCTTAAAAGTACAAGCTTCAAAAATACAATAATGAACTTTGTACTGGTTAAATATACATTAAGCCTAAGTAAATTCACTTAGAATTTATAACAGCAATAATAAAGTGAACAATACTAAAAAAAAAGAAATCCCACTTTTATGATTAAGCGACTATAGAAGAACTCTCTTAAACTAATTTCAAAAATAATAAAAGATGCACATTAAAAAATATATACCTTGAAATTAATGATTAGGTCATTAATATTACCTTGGTATTTGATTAAATTAAAATATATGCTACTTTCTGAAAGACATCTTAATAATTGTCCTCTAAAGAATAGGGAGCAAACATAAAATCTGGTATGTCTTACAGCAGATGCTAATTGCTCTTCTGTCATGTCTTCTACAAAGACAGTTTTAGCTGAAGGTTCTTCAGGAAGAGCATCTGCTGAGCCCATCATTAGCAGAGTCATTCCCTGTTATTTAAAAAAATTCATGAAAATCTTAAAAGTTGACAATGTTTATGTTCCAATGAAGAAGAGAAACACAAAAGAACATATATTACATGATTCTACAGGCCACAAAAGTTAAGTCCACAGAAAAAAGACTCATGGTTACCTAGGGCTGAGGGTGGGAAGAAGTGGCTTTTAAAAGCCCTGAGTTTCTTTCTGGGGTAAGAGTAATGTTCTAAAATTAGATTGTGATGAAAATTACACAACTCTGTAAATATACTACAAAAAATCATTGAATTGTTAAAAAAATTAAAAAGTACCGGGGTGGCTTCTTGGGCCAGAGTTCACCTATTTATCAGCAAAGGAGCACATGGGAACTTCTAAAAGTAATGAAACTTCTAAATCTTGATTGTGATGGTGGTTACATGACTGTTTAAAATCATCCAAATTCATGAAACTTTATACCAGATATAGGTAAGTTTCACCCCATATAAATTATACCTAAATAAAGTTCAGGGAAAAAACAAATATGACCATAAAATAATGATAATGTTTACAGTCTTAGAAGGGAAGGAATTCCTCAAATTGTCATTAATATTTAGCAGCATCTTTTCTCCCCTTAACAAACTAAAAATGATAAGATCCTCACACCTATAATCCCAGTTAGTCAGGACGCAGAGATCAGGATTGTCGGTCCAGGGCAGCCCAGACAAAATCCCATCTCAACAAACAAACACAACAGCTGGGCATCATAGCATATGCCTGTTATCCCAGCTACACAGAAGCATAAACAGGAAGACTGTGGTCTAGTCTGGTCAAGACAAAAATGCAAATTCTTATCTCAAAAATAACCAAAGCAAAAAGGATTGGAGGCATGGGCTCAAGTGACAGAATACCTGACTAGTAAGCACGAGGCCTAAATTCAAACCCCAATACCAAAAAAAAAAAAGCAAAAACAAACAAATAATCCAATTAAAAAGTAGGTAAAAACTATAAACCTGTAAGTAGAAGCAGAATAAACATAAAGAAACCCCCCACAAAGCACTTCATGATTAAATTAATAGAAATCAGAGCCAGGCACCAATGGCTCACACCTATAATCCTAGCTTCTCAGGAGGCAGAGATCAGAAGGATCACAGTTCGAGCCCAGCCTGGGCAGAGTTGAGACCCTATCTCAAAAATACCTAACACACACAAAAAGAGGACTGGTAGAGTGGCGCAAGTGGTAGAGCACCTGCCTAGCAAGTGTGAGGTCTGGAGTTCAAATCCCAGTACTGTCAAAAAAAAAATTACCAATAGAGAAAATCTCAAAAGAATTCAGAGAAAAGACATTACATGCAAAGGAACACAAATAAGACTAAAAAGAACTAGGCAAGTCAGAAGACAATGGAGAAACAATAGCCAAACTAAGCAATCAGTTTAGGTGCACATCAACAGATAATGAAGAAAATGTGGTATATACAATGAGAAAAGAATAAAGCAGGTACTAGTGGTTCACACTTGTAATCCTAGCTACTTGAGAGGCTGAGATTGGTAGGATCTCAGTTCCAGGCCAGCCCATGGGGGTTTGTAAGAACCCACTCAGACGGAAAAAAAGCTGGATGTGGTGGCACAGGTCTATCATCCCAGTTAATGTAAGAAGCATATAATAGGAGGATCATAGACTGGGGATGTAGCTCAGTGATTTAGTGTTTGCCTAAATCCCTAATAACACACACACACACACACACACACACACACACACACACACACACACACGAGGATCATGGTCCAGGTCACCAGGCCAGACTGGTCAAAAAGTAACCAGAGTAAAAACCAAAATGGCCAGAGTAAAAAGGTCTGGAGGAATGCCTATCAAGTATGAAGCCCTGAGCTGAAATCCCCAGCACTGCCCAAAAAAAAAAAAAAAAAAAGAAAGAAAGAAACAATGTCATTTGAACAAAAGGACATAAACATAAAAGGGGGATTATGGTGGGGGAACCAGCAGGAAAGGAGAGGAGGAAAAGAGAGTATAATGGGGGATAAAAATGGTAGAAGTACACAGTATACATGTACGAAAATATAATAAAAACTACTAAATTAAAAAAAAAAAAAAAACAGAAAGGAAGCCGGGCACCAGTGGCTCATGCCTGTAATCCTAGCCACTCAGGTGGCAGAGATCAGGAGGATTTCGGTTCAAAGCCAGCCCAGGCAAATAGTTCAGCGAGACCCTATCTTGAAAAACCCTTCAAAAATAGGGCTGGTAGAGTGGCTCAAGGTGAAGGCACTAGGTTCAAGCCCCAGTACCACAGGAAAAAAAAAAAAACACACCAGAAAGAAGGTGTATAGGGGGAATAAGAGAGTAATAAAGTGGGAGATTATAATCAAAGTACATTATTTGCACATATGGAAATTTCACAATGAAAACCCTCACTTTTAAAATTAATACAAAAAATAGCACTATGATAGTTGTACAATTAATATGCACTAATAAAAAACATGGTAAGATGAGTGAGGTGGCCAAGTGGTTCATGTCTGCAATTCTAGCTACTTGAGAGGATCAAGGTTCCAGGCCAGCTTGAGCAGAGTTTGAGAGACCCCCATCTCCAAAATAACCAGAGCAAAATGGACTGGAGGTATGGCTCAAGTAATAGAGTGCCTGCTTTGCAAGTGCAAACTCCTGAGTTCAAACCCCAGTCCCACCAAAAAAAGAAAAAAAGATGGTCGTTACAAACCAAAACACATTGATTGTAAGGAACATAAATGACCTAAGTGCACCAATTAAAATGTAGAGATTGTCAGACTGAATAAAAAAGCAACACTGAACTACATGCTTGCTAGGTACAGTCTAATTTGACTCTGTTGTCAAATAAAATTCAATATCATTTTAGTAGTCTGAAATTTACTGATGCTTGTTCCATGGCCAGTGTATTTGTTCAATGTCTTGTATGCACTTGAAAACACTATGTAGTCTGTGGTTCTGTAAAGCACTCCCTAAATGGTATATTGGTTTATAGAGTTCAAGTCCTGTATATCCTACTTATTTTTTATCATGTTCAAATCTCTAATATAATTATGGATTTGATTATTTCTTCTGTCAATTCTATCATTTTTTTGCTTCATATATTTTGAAGTTATACTATTAGGTATAGATATATGTAGGACTGTAATGTCTTGGTGAACTGAACTTATATCATTATGAAACATTCTTTATCTCTGGTATTATTACTTGTTCTGAGATATACTTTGATTTTAATATAACCACTCCATATTTTTAAAAAATTATTGTATTTACCACTTTCCATCATTTGCTTTTAAGCCATCTGTTTCTTTATATTTAAAATGAATTTCTTTTTTTTGGTGGTGATACTGGGATTTGAACTCAGGGCCTCATATTTGCTAGGCAGGTGCTCTACCACTTGAGCCACTCTGCCAGCCCTACTTTGTGTTGGGTATTTTTGAGGTATGGTCTGTTGAACCACCTGCAGATAAAATTACTAAATACATTGAAAACTTACTGCAATCTGCCAAAAAAAAAAAATACTAGAACTATCAAGTAAATTACTTATAAGGTCATAAGATGAAAATAAACTTAGGGGGAAAAAAATCAATTATAGTTTTATATTCTAGCCATAAAAACTGGAAAACAGATTTTTAAAAATCATTTTCAACAGCAAAGCACTATTAAGTTCTAGGAATCTAAAAAAAATGCAAGATCTCTATACTAAAACATTATAACTCGGATAAAACAAAATAAAGACCTAAATAAAATAGAAAGTATACCATATTCAAGGACATTCAATAAAGATATTCATTCTCCTCAAATTGACCTACAGAATTCTATGTAATTTCAAACAAAACCCCACAAGTCAATTTGTAGAAATTCACAGATTAATTCTAAAATTATAGGTAGGTGCAAAGGAGCTAAAATATTCTTGAAAAAGGAGAAAAAGTTGAAGAACTTACACTACCTTATTTCAAGACTTATTATAAAGTTTTAGTAAGCAAGACCACATGGTACTAGGATAACTTTAATCAACAGATTCAATGAAGTAAGAGCTCAAAAACAGACCTACTTATTTTCAAAACTTAGACGAAATCAATGGAAAAAAGAAATTATTGAGTAGATGATGCTAGAACAAGTTATGCAAAAAAGTCATTTGAAATATATTTTGATTCAATAATTAAGTTACCATAAGTGTTCTTAATACTTACATTTTTAATTTTGATGTTTCCCCAATCATCATCCTGTTTCAAATACAAACAAAAAAAAGTAACCATTCTACAAATGTACTAAATGTTAAGCTATCTCAAAATAAAATTAATTCTTTTTGCAGATTTATTCAAAATTACTGTAATCAAGATAATATGTTTTTTAAAAAACACATGCAAGACTGGGGGCATAGCTCAAGTGGTAAGAGTGCCTGCCTAGCAAGTTCGAGACCCTGAGCTCTAACCCCAGTACCACAAAAACAAGTAACAACAAAAATGCAGTTCTAAAGCTAGAAAATGTACCAACTGCTTAAATCACATAAGGTAGCATAATCTAAGACAGTAAGCTTGGCATCACCAAGTACTAAAAGCATGCTTAACATACTTAGCAATGACAGATCCTAATTTTTTGCAAGTTTGGAAACAGAAGAGCTAATTAGTAACTAGCTTACATGACAAGAATGAAGAGTAACTTATGAAATAAGGTCTAAGTAACTAAGGTGACTATATAACTCATCATTGAACCAGGAGACTCTTAATACAAGTGATTAAAGATTATACCAGGAGAGTAGACCATACTGCCCAAGGCAAACAAACTCTTAACAGTATCTGCATATGCACAAATATTTCTGAAGTCCTAAATTTCACATCTACGAAGCAATTAACAAATACTTTCACTTCAATGTGTTAAATAAGAATCAAGATCTTTTTATATATGATCCATCACTGGTCCAGACATACTTTAACTTACTACAGCTAAGCTCTTTCCTTCATAGGATAAAGCCCATTCCATATTACTCCTTTCTCTTTCCCTTTTTGTGGTGCTTGGGGATCAAACCCAAGGCTTCGTGTATGCTACACAAGTACTCTACCACCACTGAGCTATACCCACAGCCCACTCCTTTCTTTTGACAGAAGATACCAAGTACTCAATAAGCTTGTCTTCACTTCCCTTCTTTGGTGTCACTAATCATCTCTCTGGACACTGCTTTAAAATGGAACAGTAACTTTCTACAGGCCATTCAAATTTAAGGGCTATTACTGTTAATCTTAAGATATAATAAACCACTCAGAATACTTATTTAAGCCTCTTTGATGCTCAGTTTTCTCATTTATAAAATACAGATAACATAAAGTAAAACACACATACACACATACATGAAAAGCCAGCACAGGAAGTATTCAATAAAAGTTAACTATTATACTAGTCAGGTTCATTTGATTGCATTTTTCTGCAATTCTCCGCAATATGCCACCAGTACATAGCTCAGCACAAACTAGGTTATGAAGTTCACAAAAAGCCAAAGGTTCATACTGTAATTTGGGAGGTAATCAACATGTGTTTTAATGCCCAGCAGGGGTATTATGCTAGTCTTTATGCAGGATAGCTAGTCTTTATCTTTGAAATTAACTACTGTAATTTAGCATTTCATAGCAAACCCTTCATGGAAATAATTTTTAAACTCTCCTTATATAGTATTAAAATAGTAATAGAAAAAAAATCTTCTCATCTTTTCTTGTGGCCTTTATAACAAAGTTGATGAAGTTGACTCTTTAACTGGGGAGGCAGTATGATCATTCCAAAGGAACTAAGGAAAAATTAGACTGCCTCTCTTAAAACAAAAGTTATTTCTACCATCAAGATAGGAGTAAATAGTGATTACTCTTAAAAGAAAGGGGCTCTTCTTTAATGTGTAGAATATACAAAAGGACAAAGAAAAAAAATTGTAAGTTTCCCAGTATTTCAGAACCAGGGCTTTGGTAAAGATGTTGAAGTTCTTAGAATTTCGACATTCAAATGCATGTACAAAACTATATTTTGTATTATTTTTAAAAATTTACCTGTATTGTTGCATAGTCTAACAAAATTTTCTATTCCAATAACATAAAATTACTAATGAAACAAAATAAAATTAATAGTTTTAATATATCTTCACAGGAAAAAAATTCAACATTACAGATAATTATAAAGTGTTCCACTTCCCTGGTACCAAGAGATATAACTGAAAAATAAAATTTTAAATGAATCTTTTATAATATTGTATTTTGATATAGGTACAATGTTCCTCCCATACACAATATGAATTCAGGACAGTTTTAACTGCAGTTTAACCAGTTTTAACCACTATCTACTCTCAGCAAACAAAAAATACTTTAAATGCTACATTAACACTAAGCATATTTCCTATTTTTAACTACTTTCATTAATTATATAATAGTACATAATAAAAATCTGGACTAATTTTACCTTCAATGTTCCTCCTTTCACCATAACTTTTTGTCTGGCCGGCTGTACTCCAGTCAATGCAAAAAGCTGAGCCTTGAATACCATTGGAGGTTCATCAGTATTCAATTCTACACCTTCAAATTTCTCCTTTCCCCATTTTACAGTAACTGCAAACAAAACCAGAAATTCTTCTCACTTGTAAAATAAGACTTCAGATTTAGAAAAGACTTAAGAATCACCTACTGTGCCCTTCATCTTTTTATGCCCTATGTCCTATGTATCTTTTAATGTCTACTTAGGGCTGGGGGCATGGCTCAACTGGTAGAACACTTGCCTAGCCTGTGCAAAGCCCTGTGTTCTATTTCCAGTAACAAAAAAAAGTCTACCTATTCAAGAATGAGGTCACGTACAGTAGCTCAAGCCTAATCCTAGCTACTTGGAAGGCAGCGATCAGGAGGATCACACTTTGACATCAGCCTTAGCAAGACCCCATTCCAACCAATAAAAGTCGGGCACTTTGGTGTGTACCTGTTATCCCAGCTACATGAGAAACAAAATAGAAGTCCAGGCCAGCAGGGCATAAATTCAAGGTTCTATTTCAAAAACAACCAAATTAAAAAGGGCACCTACCTAGCAAGCAAGGCACAGTTCTTCAAAAAAAAAAAAAGAAAGAAATATAGAAGTCTCGGTTCAGTTATTAGGATAGCTATTTTTTTAATTGTCTGTTTCAGTTTTTTATTGTTTTTCTGCTTTTGTTTTTTGTTTTGTTTTGTTTTTGTTTTGAGCTGGCAATCCTCCTGCTTTATCCTGCCAAGTGCTAGAATTACCGGTGTGTGTTACACCACGTCTGACAAGAAAACAAAACAAAACAAAAAAGTGTTTAGAAACAGATAATAACAAGTGTTGGTTAGGATGTGGAGAAACTGGAACTGCTGGTGAGAACATAAACTGGCAGCTGCTATGAGACATAGTATGGCATTTCCTCAAAGAATTAAACGTAGAATTACCATATTTAACTCTACCCAGAAGTACTGAATGCAGAAATTCAAACATACGTATAAAGTCATGTTCAGAGCCACATTATTCATAATAAACAACTGGGAATGTTATTCAGCCTTAAGAAGACAATTCTTATGTACAATACATGATGAATCTTGGGAACATTATGTGAAATGAGATAAGCCAGTCACAAAAGACAAATACTGTATGATTCCATTTATATGAGGAATCCAGAGTAGTCAAATTCATAGAGACAAAGAGAATGCTTGTTGCCAGCACCTAGGATAAGCAGAAATGAAGAGTTTTGTTTAGTGGGTACAGTTTGTTTGAGAACATGAAAAAGTTATGGAGACAGATGGTAGTGATGGTTGTACAAAAACGTGAGTATAATTAATGACACAGAACTGTATGCTTGAAATGGTTAAGACAGTGCCATGTGCTGTGGCATGTTCCTGTAGTCCCAGCTAGCTAGTCAGGAAGCTGAAGCAAGAGGATCACGTGAGCCCAGGAGTTCAAGCCAGCCTAGGCAACACAGCCAGACCCTATCTCAAAAAAAAGGTTAAGATAGTAAATTTTGTTACATATATTTTACCACGATTAAAAAAAAAAAAACCTTGGGCTGGTGGAGTGGCTCAAGTGGTAGAGTGCCTGCCTAGCAAGAATGACACCCAGTGCAGCAAAAAAAAAAAAATCTCGCCAGGTGCTGGTGGCTCACACCTGCAGAAAGATCAAGAAGCAGAGATCAGGAGGATCTTATTTCAAAGGAGTCATGGGCAAATAGTTCACGAGACACTATCTCAAAAATATCGAAAAAACTCATCATAAAAAAAAAAAAAAAAGGCTGTTGGAATGGCTCAAGCGGCAAGAGCGCCTTGAGTTCAAACCCGTGTCACTAAAATCAAAACAAAACAAAAAACTCAATCAGGACCAGGTGCAATCTGGGCAAAAAGTTAGTGAGACCCACATCTCAACAAACAAGCCAGGTATGGTGGTGAACCCCTGTGATTCTAACTACACAGGAAGCATATGTTCAGGCTGGTCGCAGGCACAAAAGAAAAACCCTACCTCAAAAATAACTAAACAAAAAGGGCTGAAGGCACGGCTCAGCTGGTAGAGCACCTAGCTAGCAGATAAGCCCTGAGTTCAAACCCCAGCACTCCCCACCCCTACAAAAAAAAAAAGAAAAAAATCTCAGTCAGCCTCAAAATAGATTAACTTTTGAAATATGCAAATAATAACAAGCATAAGGATATACATTGTTTCCAGTGAAAACTTGCTTTTCAAAGATAAGAATCTCAAAACTAATAGTTGTTTCATGTTCAACTTCTGAAATCAGAATTTGAAAACCTGACCCTGACTCCAAATCCCAACTTTATCACCAGTTCAATGAATGCAATGAGCACTGATTTAATGACAAGCATTAGGGAGACTCTAGGAACTTACAGTCTAGTAAGAAAGAAACGAAGGGATGGAGGAATGCTATAATAATTAACAATATAATTAGTATACAGGCTACAGGAACACAGAGGAATGCTTCTTCGTGATCATGGTATCTCCCCTGCCAGGTAAGTATGAGGAATGCTTCTTGAGGAAGGATTTCTTGAGGGGCTGGGGATATTAAGTTAGTCTCACTATGTAGCCCAGGCTAACCTGAAATTCAGGAGCCTCCTGTCTCAGCCTCCTAGGTGCTAGGATTACAGACATGTGCACCCAACTAGGAATGTGTAACCCTGAAAGGTTTCCATAAAGACCACTTGGTCTAGTTTGAATAGTAAATCGCTCCAGCAGCAACAGAGAAAATGGATTGGAAGGTGGCACAACTGTAATCACTAAGACAGAAACATATGACAATAGGATCTCGGAATATACCTCAGTGGTAGACTGCCTGCTTGGCAACGCCCTGAGTTTGATCTCCAACACCAAGAAAAAAATGTTTTAAAGAAAAACATGATAATAGTACAAACTAAAGATGATATAGGACTAAATCAAAACAGTATTAGAGAGCTGGAGGAGTGGCTCAAGTGGCAGAGCAACTGCCTAGCAAGAGTGAAGCAATGGGTTCAACCAGTAAACCATGAAAAAAATAAATAAATAACAGTACTAGAAATAAAGGAGAGGAACCTATCAGAAACTTATTTAGCTGTATCACTATGGATGAGTTACTTAAACTTCTTATCCATAAAAGGGGAATCATAACAGCAGCAAAGAATTATGGTAAAAATTAAAATATGCATAAAAACATATAAAAAATGTAAAATGTATAAAACCCTTGCTCTTTGTCAGGCACACAGTAGGTGTTCAATAATCTTTATTGCATTTAACCATTTATGATCTGGATAGTTTTCTACTAAAATTTATGAAACAGTACTTAAAATGCCCTCTTTAACATAAGGCTTTTTTGCTGACCCTGAAAACACTGATTCTCAATATGGAGATGTCCAAGGAAGGGTTCTTGGGATCTACTGTAGGACTCTCATTTTGGGGATAAGGAAACGATCTTATTAAATATTTAAGAAAATATTTAAGCTAAAACTTTGGCAACTGGTGGCTTTTTGTGTGTGGGAACAAAGAAAGGTTGGTTTTGTACTTGTGTGAAGTTACCACTGTCTTTAAGTATCAGCAGATAGCCTTTTTTCATCAGCATTACTCGAGGCCCCCTCAGTTCTGCTTTGCATTAACAGAATATTCCAAGAACCATTCTACCGCTAATTGCTACAGCTTTAGAAAGGGGTTAGGCAATCATTAAAGCACTGGATTTAAGATTCTAGCCTATGGCTGGGATTGTGTCTCAAGTAGTACAGTGCCTGCCTATCGAGCACAAGGCCCTGCATTCAAACCCAAGCTCCACCACCAAGAACAAAAAATAAATTAAAAAAATATTCGGGGGGTGAGGGAGGTGGCCCAAACAATTGTACACACAAGTAGTAAATGTAAAACCGATAAAAGAAAAAAATTCTAGACCATCAAGAATCCACTTTGAGATTAAATATTACTCTTTTGATTCATATTCTTTGGAAATGAATCTTCAACAAAAGAATCATGACAAAGAGGCATGGTCAATGAATCACAAATCCACAGCCAATTGGGGTCACTGCACAATTTTAGGTGCCATTTTGAATAAGACTGGGAAACAGTGAAGTACATTAACTAAGTAAAAATGTGATTCCTGGCCAGTACCTTGGATAGCCATAAAGTAAATGATCCCTGTCAAATGCCAAAAAGAAATGACACCGGCGGATACTTCTCAAAGCTAACACTATGCTACGGATAAAAAAGTCCAAGATGAAATGAAAACGAAGGTTTGCAACCTGCCTCTGGACAGACAGAACTGAAGCTGGTATAAACGGGGGAGTAGAGCCAAAGGCAGCAGAGAGTGAGCGAGGAGGAAAGGGAAACTGAGGAGGGCTGTCCCAAGGCCGGGTCCCTCCATCCATCCCTATGCTTCTTCCGGGCTCCCTTCCACGGTTCCCATCCACAAGCCAAGAGCAGTCGCACATCACTCTAGCCGGGTCTCCTCCGGAGCCCCAGGACACACCCTCACCTTTCCCAGCACACTGAAACAGCGACAGAAACTATTCTGCAGAGTCACGACTCCCCATCTCCACCCACCGGCGGCCCCGCGAGAAAGCGTCCCTCCACCCCGCCAGGAATCTAGGGTGCCAGGCCGATCCTCGCGCCGCCGCCACCCCGCGCCCCGTACCTGGGCCCGCGCCCGGCGCGCGCCGCTGCAGGCCTGACCTACGCGGAGGCCTAGCGGCGGCCGGGAAACCAAGACCAAGGCAAGGAGGGAGCTCACCAGAGTACAGTGGCATGGCGGGTCGCGAGGGGCCGGCGGCGGAGCAGGAGGCTAGCCTGGCACGGGCGGCGAAGGAAGAGGGTCCAGAAGAAGACTGGTGGTAGTGGCGGCCGAGGCGAACGCGCGGCAGTGGAGGTGGCGGCGGCTCCGGTGCGACGAGTCTCATTCAAACCGGCCACTGCCGATGACGCAGCACCGCGCAGCTCACCCGCTGAGCCACTGCAGGGAAGAAGCTCGGCGCGACGGGCAGGGGCGGGGCATGGGAGGTGGCGAGAGGAGGGGAGGCAAGGAAAGGGGCGGGCGGAATGGGTAGGAGGCGGGTCCTGAAGGGTGGGGAGGGTGGGGCAGGCGGGACAGGAATGGGTGGGGCAAGGCGAGGGAGGGAGTGAGGGGGGGGGGGCTGCTGACGCGCTGCCCGATTGGTCGGAGTAGATGAGCGCTTGCGCATTACACGCCTGCCCTCTAGCGCAGCGGACCGCATGTTTATAGCGCCCCCGCCCGGCCTCTGACGGAATGGCAACTTGGAAAATGATTTCCACCTTTTTCATAAAACGGTGGGTCAGTAAAACCGGAACACTTTCTTCCTTCTTGTTAACGTATCCAGTAGAAGAGCTGGGAGTGGAAAGCCTAGCTCTCTGTATCATATTTATTGAGGGGACTAAAATTCTATTGAACACCGGAAGTAAGTACGTAAAATTAGTGATTATAAACCCAGATCTATTTTGAATCCCAGCTGTTACGCCAGCTGTATGATCTCTGAGCCTCAGTTTCTTTATCTACAAACTGGAGGTAAGAGTACCTACATCATAGAAGGCTGAAGGCGTGGCTCAAGCAGTAGAGCATCTGCCTAGCAAACACCCTAAGTTCAAACCCCAATATGACAAAAAAAATAGTGCATATACTATGATTGTTATGATTAAGGTTATGTATAGATGCTTAGCTTAGTGTGTGGTGCATAGTATGCATTAAGTGGCAACTATTATAAATTACACAGTAAAGACAGGCTTGGGGTTTTTTTGGCAGTACTGGAATTTGAACTCAGGGCCTCATGCTTGCCAGCAGGTGCTGTACCACTTGAGCTATTCCACCAGCCCTTGAAATGTTGTAAGATTAGGTTAGAGTAACAAACTACAGGTATCTTTATTGTCTCCTTTTCCAAATGTTTGATAGGATATTTAAAGATATATTTGTATAGGCCTGAAGGTATGGCTCAAGTAATACAGTGTCTGCCTTGCAAATGCAAAGCCCTGAGTCCAAACCATCAAAAACAAAACAAAAAGCTGATTTAAAGATATATTTGTATAAATACATTGCATAGTTCATCATTGGAACAATCTTTGCTCCTCTTTGTTGAAGTTGACAAAGAGGGAGGCCTAAAAATGGAAGCACAGAAATGCAAATCATCCTCTGAAATGCACTTAACTCTCATCACACTTGTATTTCTTTAACTTGTATATCCCTAGCCCCCCCAACCCAGACCACCACCACCACCACTATAACAGGAATGGTTGCTGTTTGTTAGGCACTCAGGCATTATCTGATGTTATGAGAAGTTGCTGTGAAAGCAACATACTTTAAGCTTATTCCATAGGTGACCAAGGAACCTTCTGGACCATGTTTGTTTTCAGCACTTCCCTTTGGTACAACTAGTTCTGCCAGCCTCTGGGGATTTACTGACCTAAACATAAAACAAATGGGAGCAGAGCAAGAATGTGGAATCATGCATTACCATTTTGGTAATGCTACTAAATGGTAGAATTACCAAAAAAAAAAATTGCAGAAGCAACCCTTCTCAATGTGGGAGGGACTTGTGGATGATAAACTTTGCCCCACAGGCCATACATTGCTAAGCTCTGCCTATATATGTTTAATGGATACACATTTTGGCTTAGGATCAACTTCTTTAAGCAATGAGTGTATTGGTAAGATCCTAACCTGTATGTTTATGAATAAATAAGGCCCATAAAATATGACCAAGTATCAGAAAGGGGTTTTTTTGTGTGTTTTGTTTTTGATGGACTACGTAGTGTTCGCTTCTCATCTGGCCAACTTTAAATTCCCCACTTATTGCTAACTCTTTGAGATAAACTTAAAGGCTACTCTACAAATACCCCTCTTGCCAACTAGTATTACATTGTTACCTAGTTTCTTTTATTCAATAAGTATATTGTGAGTCCAAGACACTCAATATGGAAGTTGTGGATACAAAATGAATCAAACAAAAGGTCTGCTCCAATAAGATTGAGAATAAATAGGAATATTAGGACATACACACATAAACTCCATGGCTCTCTAAATTGGAGCTCTTTGCTGGAAGCAACTGAGCCAACAGAATTGATTGGTAAATATAGGAGAGCTAACAGAATCAATAGGAAAACCAGTGAAATCAGTCACAGAAAATAAATAAGGAACAAGGAAAGTTGGCAGCATGGAACAGAGGCAGGGTCATGTCACAGAAATAGTCTGGCCACTCCTGGTACCACTTCCATGAGCAATTCCTAATCCTATGTCTACTTCAATCATTCAAGACTGGCTCCTGAGTAACAATATATAATTGACTGGCCAGGTATGGTGGCTCACACTTGTAATCCCAGCTGGCAGGACTGCATCCCTATTGGACATGCTACAGGAGAATCTTTCCTTTGTCTTTTCCAGGTGGAAGAGGCTATCCACATTCCTTGGTCACTGACACCATTCCTGTGATGGCATCACCCCACCTTGGCAGCTCCTTCTGACTCTGACCTCTCCTTCCCTCTTTATGAGGACCTGTATGATTACATTGCCTCAGCTGGATAATTCAAGACAATTTTCTTTTAAAATCCTTAATCACACCAGCAGTTCCCTTCTAGAAGGAAACATAGGGCTGGTGGAGTGACTCAAGTGGTAGAGTGCCTGTCTAGCAAGCATGAGGCCATGAGTTCAAACCCCAGTGCCACCAAAAAAAAAAAAAAAAATGAAAAGCCTGTCTAGAAGGGAACATATTCATAGGTTCAGGAGATTAGGATGTTGACATATTTTTGGGATTATTATTCTCCCAGAGCCAAAAACAAATTAAATAAAATACAAATAGAAAATATCCACTACAGTTTCTTAGAGCAGCTATCATTTTACTATTCCTGTGTTTATCTCTCTACTGAATTGTAAATGTTTGGAGGAAAAAAGGCTAACTCTAAATAATGTAGAATCCTCCATATGTATATATAGCTTAGAACAGTACTTTAAAAAAATACTTAATAAATATTTGCTAAATGAATGCAAAATGTAGTTTGGAATGAACAGATGATGCAAATCATATTAAGTGAATGCACGCTGCTGTAACAAGGAGGCCTTAAGATCTAATTGTTCGAAGGAGTCAGGGGAGAGCATGGGCACCATTCCATCCATACATCTCCTGTGTTACCTGCTGCAGAAGTGCTTCTCAAAGTTGAATGTGAATATAAATTACTGGGGATCCTGTTAAAATGCAGATTCATTGTGTTCAAATACAAGTACTGGCAAAAAAAAAAAGTAGGTTTAGATTCTGTAGTTCTCCTGTAGAGTCTAAGATTCTAATAAGCTCTCAGAAAATGCTGTTATTTATAGTTGCCCTCTTCAGTAGGTGTAAAGAGACATGTATTTTTCTCCTTGGTTGAAGATGTGTTGCAGGCACGTCCAGGTTTCAGCCTACAGGAAGAAGGAAGGGAGGGATGAAGGAAGGAAGGAAGGAAGGACACAGGACAGTAATTTCCTTTTAAGCAAGAAGAGGGATGTGTACAAGTTACTTTCATTCATATTTCATTGGTGAAAACTCATGCCATGTCTAACCTGGGAAATGGAGTCTGTAACCCAGCACAGTGCACAAGCTGAAGTCCTATTTTTATGCAAAAATGCAACAGTGGATTTTGGTAGAAAACCAATGGTCTCTGCCATGCAAATGTTGGTTTCTTTTGAAAAGAATCTTCAAAGTTATAATGCTACTCTAAACAAAGTGACAAAATTCCTAGCTGTTTAGTTTTTGCAAGTATAAAATGAAAATGCTACCTATCCCGGAATACTCTTAGGAGTGTAAGATTTAAAGAGCTAGTTTAGTGCACCTTATGTCAAGAATAAAGACCAAATACAGCTGATCTAGATTAGAACAAACAGGTGCACTTGTACATTCACACATCTACCTTCCAGATTAAGTTCAATTTCTGAAATTCTTTTTTTTTTTTTTTTTTGGAGGTACTAGTGGTTGAACTCAGGGTTCACACTTGCTAGGCAGGCACTCTACTACTTGAGCCACTTCACCACCCCAAAGTCCAATTATTGAAGCCAAAACAAAGTATATGATTTGTAAGCCTCACCCTCCAAAAGTTTCTTTCAGAAACACAATTTTTCACAACTGGACACAAATATATTGTTCTAGTCTGTTCCTAGTATTTCTCTACCTATATTATCTCAATTAATATCAATGATATTTGAATATGCAGGCCGCCCTTTGTGTCTGCAAGTCACACATGCACATACTCAGCCAACCATGGATCGAAAAACTATTTTTCCCTTCAAACTGTGACTGTACTATGCTTTTATGCTTTATGTTCTTTTGCTCCCCACTCCTGCCTTGGAGAGTCCTCCCCAATTTCCCTCCACTCACTTTCTCATATCTCACCTACTTGATAGATCTCTCTCTCTCTCTCTCTCTCTCTCTCTCTCTCTCTCTCTCTGCAGTGCTGGGGATCAAATTCCAGGCCTCACACAAGCTAAGCAAGCATTCTACAACAATGCTACATTCCCAGCTCCTTGACACGTAACTAAATCTTACAAACTGGAAAGTTTCTTCTGCCTCTCTGTAAGCAACTGCTTTTTACTTTATTCAAAATTTCATTGCCTGGGTCTTGAGGCATAGCTCAGTGGTAGAGCACTTGCTTAACATGAACTAAGTCCCTGAGTTCAATCCCCAGCACAGCAAAGTAAAACACCTTGGATTTCTGAAACCACAGATTTCAAGGTGTTGAAAGAATATTAATTATTCTCTTTTAACATTTAACGTTTACTATCTGTTTTCTGTATAGAAATATGTTATATGGAAAATGTTTTATATATATATGAAAAACAAATTTTATCTTTCCATTCAGACTCAATACTTCTTTGCACCTCCTTCAGAAATATTTGACAATTGATTCAATTAGAGAATTCAGTATTATATCATGCTCTGAATCACTTTAATAATTACAATTAGATCCTTACCTGTGTCTGCCTCATATCTGGAC